TGAAGACCATCTCTCCAATCCCAAATGATTAAAGCCTATAAAAGCAAAACAACAGGGAACACCCACACATTTGCCAATTAGAGTCATTACGACTAACTGAATTATTCCTACTAAGGGGGAATAATATTTGGACTGATTACATATCTGGATGCTTCCTGAAATTTCATCAAACTTTAAAATGGCTGTTTGGATGCCATATAAACTTGTCCAGAATTCTCCTGCCAGTTCATTTTACTGAAAATATTTCTATATACAGAACTGCAGGTAGTCCTGAAATGTCAACTACAGCTGGGACCAAAATTTCCATTGCTAAGTAAGGCAGTTGTTAAGTGAGCAAAACAGTATGTACAGCTAGTAATTGGCACAAAATTGAATTTAAAAATACTGAAGTTGTCCTTAGATAGTGAAGTAGACACTTTTCCATCCCATGACTAAAAATTAAGAATTGACAATGAACCTCAGCTGAATTTATGGCATCTGCTTCCCTTTCTATTCTGGTAGAAAGAAAGAGAGTGAGAGCAGGTATTGAATTCTTCCTATTAATAGCCTGAAATGATATGGAACAGAAAATCTCTCTTCTTGGATAAATGATACTATTAGGTAATTTTTCATTATTGGATTATAATGTACAGTTAAAATACATAGATTTTTGTGACACAAAGTTATAATGTGAATTTATTGAACAAAAATTTGGTAAGCCTTTTTAAAAATCCACAAAATTATATTTGTTAAAACACCTTTTTTAAACTAAAAATGGTTACCTTTAAAAAAAACAGACATATATTTGCCGTTAGGAGCGCCCCACAGGTAGCCTCGGCTAGAGCACCCCGTAGGTAGCCACACTTGCCATCAGGCTGCTTCTATCCATGAGGAGTGCCCCACGGGCAGACTTGCCTCACCATGAGGCCGCTCCTAACGGCCGATAGAAGCACCCCACGGGCAGACTCGACTTGCCACAAGCTGCTTCTATCGGCCAATAGAAGCGCCCCGAGGGCAGAGTTGCCTTGCCACCAGCTGGCTGGGGAATTCTAGGAGTTGAAGTTCACAGAGCTTAAAGTTGCCAAGGTAGAGAAATACTGCCCTATTATCTACCAGTATATATTTCAATAGGTTAGAAGGTTATAGATTTAGCCTGGCAAGATTCTGTCTACTAGGTGCAAGCAAATACATTAAACTTGGGTTTGGCTGAAGAATTTTGGAAGTTGAAATCCACACGTTTAAAGTTGTTCAGGTTAGAGACCCCTGCATTAAAAATTGGATTTGGTTGAATTTCACTGTATTATCTTTGGGTATGCTTGTAAGGTCAAGAAGACAGCAATTGTGTTATCTTATAAGCATCTATTCCAAGACAAGTCCCTTTTAAAAACAACGGTGTATAATATTGAGAAATATTTACTTATTAAACAAATTTATATGGCTACCCAACTCACACATGGTGAATTCAAAACAATAAAGAACTATAATTTAAAACCTCCAAGCCCACTGACAGAACCTTCTGGGCCTTTCAGAAATGTAACAAGGGTGGGGCCAATCCTATCTCCACAGGGATGATGTTTGACAAGGAGTGAACAAGTATGGAGAAGGCCCTTTTTCTTGGTCCCACCAGATGTATTTCCTTAATAAATGAGACATGCCCTGCCTTCCCATTTTGGTGGACCAGGCAGATGTAAGAAAGAGGATCTTTCAAATGAATTTAAAAGAGGATCTTTCAAATGAATTTAAAATAAATAAATTCAAAATTCTTACTTTAGTACCCAAGCAACCACTAATCACTACATTATTATAAACTGCCAGAAGCTTAAACAGTTTCGGTGGTATATTGGCCACATCAACCAACCTGTCAGCCTTCAAGAATCCTTCTTCTGCTTGTCTTTCCAGCTGCCATAGAAATGGGGGTGGGGGGAGGAAAAATTAATTGGGCTTTGTGGGAGGGGGAAGAGTGCTGGAGACTTGAGATGGTGAATTGTAAAACTTGGGGAAACTTTCTCACTTGCTTATTGCGCAGCTGTAGCTTCTTATCATCACTTCTTAAACAAACCACCTGAAGATGCCCTACATGACATTATACACATCTCAGATTGGATGGTCAGTTTGAGCTATTGTGGGTGGGAACGTTGCCATAACTTTGTATATGTGATTTTCGCGCCTAATGCCTCAGATCTTGAATTATTTTGATGCTACCACTTGATTTCCAGTAAAAGTCTAAGTCTATAACAATGGACTCTAAGGGTTTCTTTCTTGTATTTTGAATGGAGCCTCACCTGACACAATCAACATAAACTCCCTTCCTTTCAAATTACAAAATGAAATGTGTATCTAAATAATTTAAGTACCACAGGCTCAGCGTGAGATACATATAGTATATCAGTTTTCACTCTGAAACTATTACCTATAGTCTCGGTGTATGTAGGCAGGGGGTTCTTTCCAGCAAGTATTTCCTTCCGGATCCAAGAGGCAATTATCAGCATGGACTGGGTGGCTGAGATCCATACGGCCTTCCTGTTCTCCTAAGGAAGAACAACAAAAGTTGCAACTATTTTATTTCTTTGATTTTATTGCTCATTAGGCAAAAGAAACCCAAAGGCTGATTCCTCATTTTCTTCTATAACTACAGAATTTACAGTACATAGTACTGGTAGTCCTTGATTTACATTCAGGGATGGGATTCTACCAGTTCGCACCTATTCGCTAGAACCGGTTGTTAACATTCTAAGCAGTTCAGAGAACCAGTTGTTAGAAGAAATTACTGGCGTAATCCTGTAAGGAAGGCAGGAAGGAAACATTCTGGTGTTGCTTACAGAAACTGCCTCTCCGTTAACTCTTATTACATTCTTGGCAGGACTAGACTTCCTGTCTCAGGAACTTCTCTGGAGTTTTTTTCCCCTCCTTTGCTGGTACTTTGCTTGTGTGGAATGACCATTCAAAGTTACAATGGCACTGAAAAAAAGTGACTTATGATCATTTTTCATAATTACGACTCTTGCAGAATCCCCACAGTCATGAGAGGCCAGGCGAGGAAATGCGTGCCTCAATGTGAGTGATATTGAGGTGGCCATGCCCAGTCAATAACATGACCACTAAACCATGCCCACCAACTAAGCCACACCCACAGAACCGGTTGTTATATAGAAGTTATATAGAAGTTATATAGAAAATATAGAATGGTAAATAGATAAGAATGGTATATAAGGTGAGCATGAATTTGATTTAGGTCTGTAAAAAAAGATGTAACCCGGGGCTAAGCCACTTTCCAAATTTTATGTTTTATGTTTTGTGTTTTGGTTAGCTATGTTTGATCGAGAATTAATAAAACCTTGGAGGAATAAAACCAAAGGGAGAAACAATGAGAAATTTGGAAAAGATATGTACAAATGATAATTTGGAATTATGTTGTATAAAAGAATGTCTTATTTGTCTTGTCAAAATCTACAAGTAGCCTTCAGAAAGGAGGTTTTATGTTTCTATGTCTTGTTTTATGTTTTGTATTTTGAGTGTTTATGTTTGATTAAGAATTAATAAAACCTTGATAGAAAGAAATATAATTGAATAAAAGTGATGGGAGAAACAATGAGAAATTCGGAAAAGATATATATGTGTTTAAATGGAAATGTGATAATTTGGAACTATGCTATACAAAATAATGTTTTATTTGTTTGTTAAAGCCTATAAGCAGCTTTTAGAAAGGAGGTTTTATGTTTCTATGTCTTATGTTTTGTTTGTCAGGAGTTTTATGCTTTATGCTTTGTATTTTGTGTGTTTATATTTGATTGAGAATTAATAAAACCTTGATAGAAAGAAATATAATTGAATAAAAGTG